TGGAGGATAGAAGAGAAAAAAAAAATCAACTGACAATTTTCTTTTTCCAAAACTGGTTTAAAAAAACTAAGTCATAATCAGCTCCTTTGTGCAGAAGCTTTCTAACTTGCCTAAAAGGGAATGAAAATTATTTCTATGCTTAACTGTACAGCAATGCCCTAATACTTTTCTTAAATATCTGACAACTCATTTGCATATAAATATGACACATACAAGCAGAGTCTTTTTAAGGTCATGAATAATGTTGCCATCAGTGCAGTATTGACTCCAGTTCTCAGAGGAGATTTCCACATGATTTCATAATATACTTGTTGTACATATTGACAAATTTTGCATGCATTTAGAGAAGAGCTTTGTATTAAGAGAAACGAGCATGCAAAATCAGCAATTGCTTTGTTTCTGCTTTGTTTGTTTCCCATCCCAAGTTCCTGTTTTGTTTGTTGGTTGCTCAGCACTGGCTAGCACTAATGTACTCCACATATTTGTATGGGCTTGCTTAGTAATACATTGGAAGGTCATTGTCCTTTCTTATTTCTCATTCTAAGTTGAAAGCACTTAGTGAAAGCTGAGAAGCAGTAAGTTTGCCTATGAATAGAAAAGCTCTTTTTAATATATTTTGTCACTGGTGGTATCCAGCCATTAAAATAGAAAAGGCCCTGCCCTCAGATATTTACAGTCTCATTTGCAAAGATAACACAATGAGAAATTACAAAGGAATATCAGCATGGAAAGGAAAAGGGAGAAACAGAAGGAAAATAAACCATTCTGTTGGTGAAGTATGATTATGCAGGCCCTAAAACTTATTTATTTCATCTGCTCCGGAATTGTAATAATAATTCATATCATGGAAAACATATACATTAATAACTATTTAGTAGTAGTGCAGTCAGTTAAATTATTATAGTTAACCAAAGACTGTGGCGCTGGTGTCATTGGGAAGGCTTTGGCTTCCATGACCACAGCCCACTCTTTGACAAGAGAGGAAGCTAGCTGCTGAGAAGAGATGGCCTCCACCTCTCTCCACTGGGGAGGAGGCTCTTCTCAGCCAGACTGGCTGACCTGCTCCACTGGGCTTTAAACTAAGCCCACTGGGGGATGGGGGGACTACCGCCACTGCTGGCCCACTGAGCAACCCCCGCAAAGCCAGCAGGCCAATGCACTTAAGGGAGCCCACCCCTGCCCCAGCCCTGGTACAATCTGTAGGCAAGGCAAGAGCCCCCAAGGGGACTCTTGCCTGCCTGTACACAAATGCCAGGAGCTTGGGGAATAAGCAGGAGGAACTCATCATCCTGCTTAACGCAAATAATTATGACACCATAGGGATAACAAAGACCCGGTGGGACTCCACCCATGACTGGACCATGGGTACACATGGATATACCCTGTACAGGAGAGATCGAGTAGATAAAAGGGGTGGGGGTGTAACTCTCTAACGGAAGCTACGCCTGCAAGCTGAAGCTGGCGACCAGGGTGGATGACTGGAGACCCTCTGGGTTAAAATCCGTGGGGAACACGACACAGGGGACACAATGGTGGGAGTCTACTACAGACCTCCCACCCAAAGTCCTGAGCTTGACCAGGAGTTTGCCCGGGAACTGGCTGAGGCC